GAGCAGGGAGGGGGTTAGTAAGATGTGCAGAGCAGGGAGGGGGTTATTAGGACGTGCAGAGCAGGGAGGGGGTTAGTAAGATGTGCAGAGCAGGGACAGGGCAAGGTTGTGAAGGGGTAGTAAGATGTGCAGGGGAGGAGGGGGGAGGGTTGCTTAGAACATAGAGTAATAATATATAATATTCCATCATATTGTCTCCAGTGATATTTGTACATTAGTGTAAGTTCTGTATCTGCAGGTTTTATATGGAATGTATCTCCCTGGTAAAACATTACCGATACATTAACCCTTTCACTGAAATTATATGGATTTTATATTAGGAACTACGTTCTTATGGCTTTTATTTAATTCATCGCTCTGAGTTTTACTCCAAAACACGGATAAATAAATAAAAAATCGTAAATTAGTAACTCAATAAAATGAATCGCTTCACTGTCGAGTTATTTAAAAAAAAATTCTTTATTATTTATTTATTACTCCGCCCCAAGAGCTGCAGCGGGGTTTGACCAACATAAAGCATTTGCATGGTTAAAACAGGTATAACGGTAATTGTCTTGCACTTTTTTTAAAATTGTTTGAACCTGCGTGTTGTACTGTATCAGGGATGGTTTGTAGAGGTGGCTGCGAGCGTGTAGTTTAGGATTGCGTGTTACCGAATCTAGATCGGTGGTAGGGATGTGTTGGTTCAGGCTGTTCAGTTTAGAACTATCCTATTATGGTTGTGGAGGGTGGGTGAACCTTGCCGGCCATAGGTGGTACCCCTTACCTAGGGGGTTGCGGGGGGGGGAGATGTCAGGTGTGGAGCCGATCACCTGCCGTGTAGCGCCCTTTTCCAAGGTGCTGTTAGTCGTGTGGTGGTAGGTCCTCCGTGGGGGACTCTCGAGTGCATTAACATATGATTAAATATAACTAATTATGAGCAACTTGTAACCGTTCCTGGCATAATACTTTGCAAGCGGGTATACAGTCTCCCAGGAGAGCTGGCAGCAGGCACGAACGGGTCCACTCGGGAGTGGTTCCAGCTATGAGTGTTCGCCCGTCTGTCGTCTGTCCTTTCGTGGGGGCGGTAAACCCAGAAGAGCTGGGGTTTCTGACAGTGATGAGAGTTTGTGTACTATCCCTTTGTGGTTTACCACTAGTAGCCTGGGGGACATCCAACGGTATTTGATGCCTGCTGATCTTGTGAGAGGTTGTAAAGATCTCCGCCACTGCAGGGTGGGCCTCGTGAGGTCCTGATAGAAGGTGAGGTTAGCACAATGGGAGTGTGAGTATCACACTATGGCGTCTTGTACTGCCGTCGCTGGGGCCCTGCTGGACTTAGGCAGGTGGTAGGTTCTGTCCAGAGTGACTTTTTTGGCCTGTGCGGCCGGCAAGATGGTGGCCACCAGTCGCCTCACATAGTGGGGGAGTTCTGGGGTTACTGTGTCTGGTATGCCCCTTATATAAAGATGGTTTTTCCTTGACCTGTCATCCAGTGTGGCTTGGTGTATGGAGAGTGATTGGTGGTGGATGGTTTCCTGTACAGTGTTCATACCTCGTTTAAGGTCGGCAATGTCCCCCTCTGCTGTTTTCACTCTGTCATTGACTCTCTGCATATCCGCTTTGATGGCTGCCACGTTAGCTTCCAGTAGGTTGTCGATTTCTCCCACCAAGTTTTGGAAGTCCCTCTGAGTGACTGGAGCTGATCCGTCCCCTGCAGCCAGTGTGGTAAGCCCTGTGTGAGGCTGGACGGGATCGAGTTATTTTAACGTGAAAAAAGTTAGTAAATTTTTTTTTTAAATTCTTTATTTTTTCGCAGTCAACTTGTGATAGACATTGTGTATGACATATTCAATAAAGCATAACATTGCGGTTAACCATTTACATGCAGTTGGTAGGATATCAATGTAGCCTGCGGTTTTTATTTTTATTGTAATGTAGCGTGTTACTGCCATATACTTGCCTCCAGTGGTAGTGGAAATATATATCTAGGGCATGCATGGCCGTACATTAGCAAAAATGAGTGAGAAGTAGTGTGTCTCTAGAGCGGGCAGGACGCTGTAGGAGTGCAGCTCCACATGGTTGAGTGGGTGTTAGTGGATACTAGCGTGGAGCTGGGGGGGGGTTGGTGGTCTTTAGGGAGCCTGTGTTCCCGGGTTAATCCCGGTCGCGGCTCATTTAGGCTTGTCTGGTGGGAAAGATGGTTACGGTCCTTCCCTGCTTGCGTTGTATATGTAGATGCGTAGCATTTAAGTGTTGTCTGAGTAAAGGAAAATACAATAACAACTAAAAAACTTATGCTGTGCTAACTGTGCATCTGTAAGATGCTGGCCCCATGAGGCCCGTATGTCGTAATAGGTGAGGAAACAAGATTTAAACTAAAATAAACAAAAAGAAACAGAGAAGGCAGTCTCCAGAGTCAAGTATTTGCTCGGCTGGGTAAACTCCTACTCGCCGGGATGAACGGGATAGCGTTAGCCGGGTCCCAAGCTGTCGGTGCAGCCATTGCAGTGCGGTTCAAACCCAGTGTGGTCAGAGTTGCCTCGATCTCCGATGCCTCAGTCACCCTGATCTCTGTGTTCTGATGCTGGATGAGTAGCGCTCGTGTTGGGCCCCAGCGGTATTTGAGTCCCTTCGACGATAATATGGATGTGAGGGGACGTAGTGTTTTTCGCCACTGTAGGGTTTGGCGGGAGAGATCAGAATAGAAGGTGATTTCCATCTCCTCGAACCGGAACGGGGGCTTGCCTCGCACTGCACTCATAACGGCTGCCTTGTCCTGGCCATTTTGAAATTTGACCAGTATGTCGCTGGTGTTGGAGGCAGTGGCTGAGGGAGGCCTGGGGAGCCGAAACATCCCATCCAGTGTAATGCCCCTGGCTTGTTTGGGAGAGAGAAGGGCTGTGAAGAGCCTGCGCATGCAGTGTGGTAATTCTGCCTGGGTGATATTGTCTGTGAGACCCCTGATTTTCAGGTGTTTCCACCTTCTTCTATCCTCCATGGCTGCAAGGTGGTGGCTTAGAGTGTTGTGAGCTGTGGTGAGGGTGTCAATCTGGGTCTGTAGCTCCAGGATTTGGGCTGTATGTGTTGTGGTGGTCTGTTCAACTGCATTTAGGCGCCCATTGAATCCCTTAAGGTCCTCTCTAACCTGTGAGATTTCAGACGACAGACTTTGACGGAGGTCCACCAGGAGGCCGGTGAGTATTTCTGTGGTGAGCGGTGCTGACCCTTTGGCTGCTGGCTGGGCAGGTTTTGGAGGCTGTATTCCCTGCTCCCCCAGATTGTGAAGGGAGTAGTCTTCTGATTCATCAGAGAAATCCTCCAGGTCCGCCGCCATGTCAGTTCGACCTGCTCCATGCGGCCCTCTCAGGAGGTCGCCGATATCGGCGCAGAATCTGGGTCTATCTGGTCGGGGTTTTTTGGTCTTCCTCCCCATCGTTTGTGGTATCGTCTGGTGCTTATTGGAGGGGGTATACACCCCGTATTTCAGCTGGTTTTAGGCGTTTTTTTGCCGCTTTGTCGGAGCTCAGGGAGATTGCGACCGTTGCTGTTGAGCGCTAGCTCCGCCCCCCAAGTTAGTAAATTTTATCTCAAAACAAACTACTACATGTAGGACAATAACTAAAAAATTAAAAGTATAAATTCCATTCAAGAATACGCAAAAATTCAAATTAAAAAACTGTATAATTTTATTTTCTCGTGTATATATATATATATATTTTAAATTATTTTTTTAATTCTTTATTTTTGTAGTGCAAATATATAATACAGGCTGGCATGAATAACAAGCACAATTTTTTTGATTTAGTCAGGCTTAAGCATGTGGATTGAAACATAGAATTTAAATATATTTAAGTTATACAATGCTATTTTTACAAACTGAAAGAGGAATACTAAGGCTTTAACATAGAACTGTAGTTACTCAATTACAGGAGATAATACCACTGGTTGGGTAGCTTAATCAATATAAACAGTCCATTAGGGTCACCTAATAGAGTAAGTGTTGGTAACCCGCAACCCAAGCATGTATGGCTTGCTAATGTACAGTGCTGACCCCTTCTGAGGAGCGACATAAGAATTTTAAAGTGATGTAAGCAATTTAAAGCGAGAGACAGGAAGAGGATCATAAGCTACCGGCCTACAAAACAGTCTATCTCCGACAGGTTTACTTGGGTCTGCTCAGCCAATACCCGCAGATGGAAGGCAATCGATCGCGTGTGATTGTCCATTATGTTGTGGACAGCATGTTGTGGTACTGAGTCGGGCAGCTGCAGGAACAAGCTTCCAGCTCTCCAGTGTTGCGGCAGGTTTCCCGCCATGCAGGTAATGCTTGCCTCTTCCATGGCGGCTCGCCGTGACACGTTGGCGGAGAACAGTGAGCGGCCACCACCGCGGACCCTGTCTTCCTCTCCTCGCCTTCAGGACGTGACGGCTGTGCGCCCCCTGCATCCGGTGCCTGGGACTCCCGCTTTGTGATGTCCCATGCTGGCCACGTTTGCATGGACCCGCCTTGTGGTGCTGGTCCGCGGACCCGAGCGGGGGGAGTTCGCCTGGGCTAGTAGGTAGAGTGGTGAGTGTGCGTGTACTCAGCTTCGCCCAGAACTGAGCGCACAATTTGTCGAAGGCCAGCAGGAGCGGGTCAGCATAGGTAATTGCTTGTGGGAAGGGCTGTGTAGTCTGCGGTACAACAGCCATCTTGGGTAGTAGGTTACAGCCTCGTGTATCGCTTGGGTGTTAAGGCGATCTATAGGGGTCCACAAGAATGTGCCAGTGGGGACCGCGATAACCCCCACCGGTCCGGGGGGGGGGAACAGGGCTCAACAGCAGGGACTCTTCAGTCTCGGGCAGAGGATCGGCCGCCTCCCCCGCCTCGAGTTTGTCGGCAGGCCGCTGAAGTTATGCCTGCCAAGAAAGCCGGCAAAGTGGATTTCTTGCTCGTTAGGGTGCTCCTCGGCATTAATGTGCAGGTTTATGCCAAAAGTTAAGTGTTTGAGTCCAGGAGTAGGCTATTTGGAAGCTTTGCATGAGGAGCTCCGGTATCATGCGTCCATCTTGGTCGGCCATCAGGCCCCGCCCCTCTCGTTTATATTTTTTTACATTTGCATAAAAATAATTGGTATAAAATATTAGAAATTATCCTTCTATTTACAATCCTTTAGATTCAGGAAAATAACTATTTTATTACAAGTTGTATTATAACTGCAGCTATAAGGTTATGATGTAAGGAGGTCCCCTGTCTCCCCGCACGCAGTGTATTATAACTGCAGCTATAAGGTTATGGTGTAAGGAGGTCCCCTGTCTCCCCGCACGCAGTGTATTATAACTGCAGCTATAAGGTTACGGTGTAAGGAGGCCCCCTGTCTCCCCGCACACAGTGTATTATAACTGCAGCTATAAGGTTACGGTGTAAGGAGGTCCCCTGTCTCCCCGCACACAGTGTATTTTAACTGCAGCTATAAGGTTACGGTGTAAGGAGGCCCCCTGTCTCCCCGCACACAGTGTATTATAACTGCAGCTATAAGGTTACGGTGTAAGGAGGTCCCCTGTCTCCCCGCACCCAGTGTATTATAACTGCAGCTATAAGGTTACGGTGTAAGGAGGCCCCCTGTCTCCCCGCACACAGTGTATTATAACTGCAGCTATAAGGCTACGGTGTAAGGAGGCCCCCTGTCTCCCCGCACACAGTGTATTATAACTGCAGCTATAAGGTTACGGTGTAAGGAGGCCCCTTGTCTCCATGCACCCAGTGTATTATAACTGCAGCTATAGGGTTACGGTGTAAGGAGGTCCCCTGTCTCCCCGCACTCAGTGTATTATAACTGCAGCTATAAGGTTGTGGTGTAAGGAGGTCCCCTGTCTCCCCGCACACAATTGTACTACAGCAAACCGTAACCTCCCTTGTATCAGCGTCATGACGGAACAATGAAAACTAACCAATTATTTTCCCTTTTGGCGCAGCCCATATAGCAATAGATTCTGGGATTTGCTACAATCATTTTCCATTGTATTTTTGGGGTGTCAATTTAATCTCACCCCATTATGGGCACTTTTCGCTGTGCTGGAGGAAGAAGATCTCTATCAGTGACCTCAGTCCTTAACTACGATAACATAAATCAACACAAGAGTGGAGATTTATCAAAGTGTCTTGTTTTAAAGTGATCTAAAATATCAAAAGGGGGCAGTTGCCATGGAAACCAGTGGGACCAGCAGCATCTTTCACTGGTGACTCCTCTCCTAGAACAGACCGTGTGATAAATCTCTCCCTGGGTCCATTGCATTCAGTCGAATATTGCAATTCTTTGAAATGACTGTGCGGAAAGATAAACATACTGAACGTTTTTTGTTCCGTGCTCTCCTTTAATGCTATGTTAACCACGTTAGAGAGAAATGTCCAGAGCCAACGCAGGTACCCTCTAAGACCTTCCACGATTTTACCCCATTACGGAGCCAGCATAGTGTGTGCGTGGCAAATAGATCTGTAGGTCCACGTCATCTGTTTGAGAACGGGGGCACTAAATGATCAATTTACAGCTGTACATTTCCTGGAGTCTGATAAAGCATTTATTGTTATTATATACGCTATATAGATTTGTTTATGGCTAAAAAATACCAATTTGTAATCTACTTCTGAGTCTGGAGAACCAGGCCATAAAGCGCGTTGGAGTTTGTTTGCAGGCGATAATGCGCGTTGGAGTTTGTTTGCAGGCCATAAAGCGCGTTGGAGTTTGTTTGCAGGCGATAATGCGCGTTGGAGTTTGTTTGCAGGCCATAATGCGCGTTGGAGTTTGTTTGCAGGCCATAATGCGCGTTGGAGTTTGTTTGCAGGCCATAATGCGCGTTGGAGTTTGTTTGCAGGCGATAATGCACGTTGGAGTTTGTTTGCAGGCGATAATGCACGTTGGAGTTTGTTTGCAGGCGATAATGCGCGTTGGAGTTTGTTTGCAGGCCGCGTTGGAGTTTGTTTGCAGGCCATAGCGCGTTGGAGTTTGTTTGCAGGCGATAATGCGCGTTGGAGTTTGTTTGCAGGCCATAATGCGCGTTGGAGTTTGTTTGCAGGCCATAATGCGCGTTGGAGTTTGTTTGCAGGCCATAATGCGCGTTGGAGTTTGTTTGCAGGCGATAATGCGCGTTGGAGTTTGTTTGCAGGCGATAATGCGCGTTGGAGTTTGTTTGCAGGCGATAATGCGCGTTGGAGCTTGTTTGCAGGCGATAATGCGCGTTGGAGTTTGTTTGCAGGCGATAATGCGCGTTGGAGTTTGTTTGCAGGCCATATTGCGCGTTGGAGTTTGTTTGCGATCCTTATTTGAGGTTCTTGTAATCCGCTTGCACATTTTAAATTTTTGTTCTAATTTGAATAATCTGTCTCGGATAACACAGTGCGTTTGTTATATTGCGTTTGTACATGTGGCTGAATGCTATAAATCCTGGATCTATCTAGGCGTTATCAGCACATCCTCAATCAACGGTTTTATAAAATTTATTTGCCAATAATCCAGAGATTTCTCTTTTCGAAGACGGCCTGTTCCTTTTCACTGGTCCAATAATCCAGACGCTCTTTTCTGCGGCCTGTTCCTTTTCACTGGTCCTCTAACTACCACGCCATCTGCCTACATAGCACGTTGATGGACACTGGGCCATATTCTATTGAGCACAAAATCCAATAGTTTAGCTGGTGGACAGCGTTGGCTGGTATTATCTCACATTAAGGATCCACTTGGTGTTCATTAGCGGTGGTCCTCACCATCCCATAATGTACTCAACAATCCAAACTTTGTAACAAATTCTTATTTTAGAATAAAAATCCCCCAATCTGGTTACAACTGGTTGTGCGTGTACTCGGTGTAATACTTTAAATCCTTGAAGATGGCATATCCCACTTCCCAGGAGAGTTCCATGCCAGTGTACGGTCTTACAATAACAGACTGGATCTCCAACTTACCAGGAGAGTTCCATGTCAGCGTACGGTCTTACAATAACAGACTGGATCTCCCACTTCCCAGGAGAGTTCCATGCCAGCGTACGGTCTTACAATAACAGACTGGATCTCCCACTTCCCAGGAGAGTTCCATGCCAGCGTACGGTCTTATAATAACAGACTGGATCTCCCACTTCCCAGGAGAGTTCCATGCCAGCGTACGGTCTTATAATAACAGACTGGATCTCCCACTTACCAGGAGAGTTCCATGCCAGCGTACGGTCTTATAATAACAGATTGGACCTCCCACTTACCAGGAGAGTTCCATGCCAGCGTACGGTCTTATAATAACAGATTGGACCTCCCACTTACCAGGAGAGTTCCATGCCCGCGTACGGTCTTATAACAGATTGTATCTCCAAGGGTTGGGTCACACGTGTACAGATCAGGTCGTGGACAATATTTATAGGAAATCAGGAATTATAAATAAATACACCAAGCTTTTTTTTTTTTTCTAAATCAATACAATTTTTCAAATTTATTGTATTTTTATTTGAAAGAATGACTTCTAATAATATATATTTTTTTCACAGAAGATTATAGGGAATGTTATCGCTTCCATTCCATCTGTAAACATTTAAATACAGATTTGGGACCAAAAGAAATGAAAAAGAAAAGTGCATTTTACAAAATCAACTAAAATCAATTTTACAGATATTTCACTTCGCCTCAGCTTTAAAATTCAATTCTGCCAACTGCTTTTTCAGTTTCAAAAATCTGCGTCTATCTAGTACATTAAGAGGGGAACCAAAGGGACAAAAACCCAAAACAGAACAGACCAAACGACCCGAAACGCCAGGCGCAGCATGTACGTTCTGTAATGAACATTCCTGGGAACACTAGCGCAAACATCTTACGTTACCCAGTATGCTAGGCATGCTTTACAATAAATGTCAGTATATAGACGTGGGAATATTAAATTGCGTTTGTGACATCACCACATGACATATACATCCTATTTAAAGTCAGATCACATTGGGCTGCAGTTTCTGGATAGCCACAAGGGGCAGAACTTCCAGTGTTAATCCTACACGAATGTGCATAGTGACAGTTGGGCTCTAACCAAGTCACGGCTCACAATTTCCATTCTTCACTAGCCATTGACCCACGTAAATGCAGCCTTGGCTAGCAGAAATGCACTCCTGATATGTGTGCCAAGGCCGCAGGGCTGAGAAGTTTAGTAGAGAAGCAATGGAAATGTTGAGCTCTGAATTAATGAACGATTATTCCTCTTCATATGGGGACATGTGATTTTAACCTTTAAATAGCACTGAATTTTACATGTAACACACTGTGCCAGAGACCCTCCTTTGTACACTTGTTTTGATTAATATCTCTGCTACCGAGTGGTTGCCAAGGCTAACGACCCTCTACAAAGCGCTATATTGCGGCTGCAAATACTATGCGAACAGACACGGGCCCAATCTTAACTCTACGAAAGAATGAGACCATAACATGGTGAGAGGGCACAACTGATGTCACATTTTATCCAAAATAAGGGGGTTATATATAAAATGTGCATTGTTCTACAAAGTGATCAAAAGCACTAACAGTGGAACAGTTACCATGGAAACCAGTGAAAATAGAACATTTAATTGGTGACTCAGTCTCCTTTTCACGTTTGCGCCACTTTAGAGAACGGCCACTTTTTATACATACCCCATTATGTTTGAATGGCTACAAATTGCTTGTCTGGATCTCTAATACAGATTTATACTTTAAAGGGACACTATAGTCACCAGAAAAACTACAGCTTAACGTACAGTATGCAGCTTAATGTACAGTATGCAGCTTAATGTAGTGGTTCTGGTGAGTATAGTCAGTCCCTGCAGCCATTTTAGTGTCAATACTGCATCGTTAACATTGCTCACTAGGGATACTTCATATGGCAGTTACTCAGATGCCCACTAGAGGTGCTTCCTCTGTCAGCGCTGCACACTGTACTGCACCTATGTTCAGCGTCTTCATGCTGAGTCAACGCATCTTCAGCGGAGATGCAGATTGGCCAGCGTGGCGTTTAGCTCCATTCTGCATCGTTGGCTGAAATCAACAGAATTGACTAGCTCAGCCAATCCAATGACTTGCCATAGGAAAGCATTGGAGTGGCTGAGATAGTAAATTCTAATTGTTAGCCGAGGAGTCGGATCAGGGTGGGGCTAGCGCTGGCAGACCTGCGCAGTGCTGGGATAAAGGTGAGTTTTTGTCTGATTTAAGGAGGGCACGGGGGCCCAGTCATCTAAACACACGTTTTGTGTTCCTGACCCTATAGTGTTCCTTTAAGTAATACTATCAAATTCTTACTTGCTTCAGCTGGTTGTAAATGTCGTTTAATTGGCAACATTAGCAGATTTTAAGATATGAGACCAGTAGCCCAAATAAACAATTAAGACCCACTTCCACTAAATGTATACATTTAGTCGTGTCTTTGAGAATTCTTGTTCTCAAGGAGCGAACGTTACTAAAGATGTAGCACATACCATAAGGAATTCAGGGATCTGATATAAAACAAAACAAGTGACATTCGATGTGTGTATTGCTGAATTTTGGAGGTTCACGGTGCTGATGGACTGCTTTGCAAAGTTCTAACAAGAGACGGTTTGTGGTCGTTTATTGTGCGTTTCTAGACTTTACAAAGATCTTCCCAAGAAATGGCCGCTGAATAGTGTCAGGTTTATTTACTGAAGTGAGAACGGTTGGGAATTCAAATCTAATTTGAAGCCTGTTTCAAATTTTAGGCCAAAGTAGCTGAACTGTAAGCATAGACTTTTAGAGATGTTTCCAATTCACCTACTTTGGTCTTAGATGTGAAATTCCTGTGGAATTCCTGCCTGTGTGTCAATCTATAAAGTCCGACCCGGCATGAGAACTCTGCCAGAAAGGCCGCACAGCCTTTCATATTACAGACAATATTCCCACCATGTGCAGGAGGTATTAGAATGTTTAATTAACCCTCTAGTGGCAGTCTTCCTTTATAATACAAACCCCGCAAGCGGTGCAGATTTCAATACGTTTATGGGCTTTTTCAGAATGCGGAGAGAAGGTTTTCCATGTCTCGTAACAATGTGCAGTTATGGAAACAGTCTGTGTAATTAATGGTCTTTTTACACAATCAAACGCTCATCTAAGCCAACGGCAAACGCTTGGATGACTTTAAAGTCTCCTAGACAATGATGTGACTGGTGCCCTCCTCCTCTCACAGCTGTGCAGACGCCAACAATAGCAGCGCTGCCCAAAACTTTACTCAATCTTTAGAAAATAAGTATGGCCGCGGCCGCCACATATGTGAAGAAGCATGATGGGGAAATAAATCCAAACTGAACATTGATGTCCGAGGGAAACGCATCTAAAATAATTTTAATATCTGGATTATTTTAAGGGTAAAAGTTTTAAGTTATAAGTGCATCACAGGGACTATAATATTAAAAATATACACCATTTGTGAGTATTACAACACATCCAAACTAGCACACTAGTTAAAATAGTCCTTTAACACAACATTAGAATGGCTTCCAATATTATTCACGTATCACTTTTCAATGTAAAATATTTGAACTTTGTTTTAATTCAAAGCGGGCACAGAATGGGTGCATTTGGTTTCTTAAACGTCCTTCCTGCACAAAAACATGTTTTGGTCCCTGCTGAATTCAAGGACCCAATTAAAAGTATGTTCTATCTCATAAAAAAACGTACAAAACCTTTCATGGAGTTATTGTAGATGCAGTGTGATCTATGATTGCATAATATATATATGTATATATATATAGTTATATTTTTTAAAGCTGGGGGATACTTACTAAACAGTGAGTTTTGGTGAAATTATAAAGGTTTCCTTTATTTGGTCCTAATTTCACTTATCTGACAGATACATCAACTTAGCTGAGCGAACAATGTTTTAAAAAAAAATACTATTGGCCTAAATTCTGCAACTTGATTCAACCAATCTGAAACGGATGATAATTTGTGTGATGAAGGCTCTGGGCTTTAAATGGTTTTAATTCTATAATATGTTATTGATCTGCAAGCGGAGTGCAACTGATGCAGCGATTGCTTTGATGAACAAGGCAAGGGAGTTAATTACGTAAAACATGCACTGAGCAGAGGCATCAGAGTTGGTGTCAAATAGTTTGATACGTAAAGCAGGGCTCAAAATCTCCACACTTTTCTAGCCATTGGCAAGTAGAAATTTACCCCTGGACCTTCCAGGCTTGCAGTGGCTATTGGCCTTTAGGCCTGGTTAGTAAGGCAAGACTTCAAATATTAAGCCTAGCATTATTATTAATTATAGAAGTGGTGAGA